GATCATTATGCGATTTAATTAGCTTCCCTAATAGTACTTCGATTACATTAATATGGGTACAAAGAAACATCTATGCTCACTAATTAGGAGGAAATCCATATATATAACCAGGCGATCAGAAATCTAGTAATTATCTAAACCGAAACACTCCACTTAAGATAAAAAGATAGTGATCTAACAATATAGATATGTCAATATAAAATAAAAAAGCATTTTCCGTTCAGTGTTATGAAAATTATTTGGCAAAGACGTGAACGGCCAGGCGATTAGTAGTTGAGCGCTAAGAAAGATAAACGCACAAACCTAAAAAGAACGAGTCTACCAGAGAGGAGAGTGGTTCAGAATGCCAGTCCAGTTAGCCTCAATCATCCGATCGAGACGCTGCTGCATTTCCTCGAGCTCGTACAACAACTGGCCAAACTGAGCATCTGTATGGGCCTGATCAGGGGGATCAATGTCAGTATCCTGATTGCACCAAAGAGGCTCGTCTTTTAGCATTATTTTTCGCGAACGAATAGAAGTTTGATTAATAAGTCCTTCATGAATTTCTTGATTTGAAGAAGAAAACCCCATATCAGCCGCACTACACTCGTGCCCATAATCCTCACTAGGAGCAGAAAGACCTGAAATAACTGAAAAAGTAGAAAAACCTCGAAGTTCCAATGCACATATTTCACGTTCAGCTTTAGAAAAACGCAAGTCCAAATTAGCTAGGTATTGAACTAGACCCTGATGTAGTGAATCGCAAATGCATGACGGATTATCTTTAAATTTGAGATTGATTAAAGGAGCTCTAATCTGGCCAAATCAAGATTTTTCAAAATACCTCCAGTGTATATGGGGCATCCTCGGTAGTATCCGTAATAGACTTAGATGAAAAAGGGACAATGATACCCTGTGAATTCTTTATACAGGCGATCAAGCATGGATGAATATTAAACTCCTTGTAAACTAGGATTCGAAAATCATCAAGATTTATATTCTTATGGAAGGCTATCATGCGTTTACAAGGATCCACAGTTGCAACGCCACGGAGGCCTCCATTATTTACAAAACCACTAGTAAAGAGCCATAGATTCATCAAATTGACCGCGAAAATGGGGAAGATTTTAACGCACACGAGGTTAGTCGCTCATATGAAGATAAGTAACAATATGATAAAAACATGATTAGCGAATATTAATAAATGTTTTATTTATATTAAAGATCAAAATTATTATTACTTTTTTATCGTTAGTAGATCCTTAAATAATTACACCGGGTACTCGATCCAAATCTAAGCTTTAGTTACAAAAGCTAGCAAGAAGAAAACGCGCCCAAAAGTATCGCAACTCCAATAAAGTTCTCCTATGTTATCTTTGAAAACATCGAAAAGAAATGAAAGTAATCTTTTTCAGTTTATAAGACCACAGATAAAACGAAAATAATATGAATGTCAGCTGATCAAAGTGGATGGTATCTGACATGGGTAGTAAATTATGAAGCAAACAGAGTATATTGATAAGTAATAACTCTACATTTAGTGATTAGAGTCTTGATGATAGACTAGAAAGCATTCATTCATTGAGAAAATAAAGTAATAATTAAAGCAAAGGTGGTTTGACCTTGTTTTCGAAACTTGGTCATATTGGTAGGAAGCCTTAAAGGAACGCACCTAGCCCAAAATCCATTGTATGCATGATCATTTCCAAAAACGGACCGTGGACGTGGTACATTTCTAGACGTTTCGCCGTCATCTCAGTCGACATCGTCAGTAAGTTTGGCCATTCTTAGCATCACAAAACAACTCGTCAAAAAGACAAGGGAAGCCGATTCTTTGGTAAAACGTGCTAAACAGTTGTGGTATCTC